GTTCCCATGCCAAGACAAAGTAGAAATTAAAATACCAATTTGCAATTAAAGTATATTTTAAACAAGGCACATTGAACAAGTGCACTACTATTCAAAACTCAGCACTCTCAGTTATTTTATTGTGTTTTCTAGTCTTGTTTGTAGTGAGCATGCTCTGTGGTTACATATCCCTCACAAGTTCATGTGCGGGGGTGGGGGGGGTTTAGAGCTTGGAAGTGGCTCAGTGGCAACATTTATACCATGGGAACTGGGGAATGGAACTGGGCAGCACTTTATAAACATCTGTATTGCATTAACATTTTATTACTACATTTATCTTTTGAGATGGCTTATGTACTGTTGAGCAGGCATGAGGGTCAGAATGAATTTGTGGGGGCCAGCTTTCCCCTCCTGTCATGTGAGTCTTAGGGAGAAGGCTCAGCTTCTCAGGCTTGGCCATAAGCAGCTTTGAGCTGTCATTTCCCATATTTTATTTTTAAAAATGTATTTTTATTATTTTAAATTGGTGTTTGTGTCTGTATGTGGGTGCATGTGCCTGTGAGTGCAGCTGTCCTCAAAACCAGAGGTACTGGATGCTCAAGAGATGGAGTTACAGGTGGTTGTGAGTTGCCTAATGTGGGTGATGGGAAGAGCAGTAAGTACTTTTACTCGCTGAGCCCGTCCCTGTAGTTTTAGTTGATGCATACTTTTACATATTTATGGGTCACGGTGTCAGTACTGTACATGCATTCAATGTGTAATGGTCAGAGAAAGTTTTCATATCTGAAACTCCAGCGTTATTTTGTTTTAGGAACTTCTGAACCCTTTCTTCAAGTTCTTTATAAAAACAAGGCAATTGCTTCCTGAACAGAATATTGACAGTACAGGTACTAAGAACAATAATCAATAAATGAGACCCTATGAAACCAAAAAGCTTCTGTGAATATTATTTTCAAGTGTGTGACTTTTATTTATTCTGTATTTGTTTAACTCTGTGAAGCTGTGTTACTCTGCCTATCTAAAAAACCTGGTGGTCCTAATAAAGAGCTGAACAGCCAATAGTAAGGCAGAAGCAAGGATAGGCAGGGCTGGCAGGCAGAGAGTATAAATAGAAGGGGAAACAAGGCATCAAGAGAACTAGGAGAAGAGGACAGAAGGGGTCGGTCACCCAGCCACCCAGCCACCCAGGTACCCAGCCATCCAGCCATCCAGCCATCCAGCCATCCAGCCATCCAGCCATCCAGCCATCCAGCCATCCAGCCATCCAGCCATCCAGCCATCCAGTTATAAAGCAATCTGTAAGTAAGATTTACAGATATTAGAGAATAGGAAAAGCCCAGAGGCAAAAGGTAAATGGAGTGATTTAAGGAAAACAAGCCAAGCTAAGGCAAGCATTCAAAAGTAATAATAAGACTCCATGTGTGATTTATTTGGATGCTGGGTGGCAGGCTCCTCAAAAGAGCCAAAGAATAAAAAACAACCAGCAATACTTCTGTAAGGCAAAGGACACTATCAACAAGACAAAATGGGAAAAGATTTTCATCAGCTCTACATTTGACAGAGGGCTAATATACAAAATACACAAAGAACTCAACAGGTATCAACAAACCAAATAATCCAACTGAAGAATGGGGTACAGAGAATTCTCATCAGAGGAATCTGAAGTGGCTGAGAAACACTTAAAGAAATGTTGAACATCCTTAGCCATCAGGGAAATGCAAATCAAAACATCTTACATCTTACATCTGTCAGAATGGTTAAGCCAAAAGCACAAATAACAGCTCATGCTGGTAAGGATGTGGAGCAAGAGAAACAATGCTCCATTGCTGGTGGAAGTGCAAACTTGCACAACCACTATGGAAATCAATATGGTGTTTCCTCAGAAAACTGGGAATTGATCTACCTCAAGATCAAGCTATGCCATTCTTGGGGATATACCCAAAAGATGCTTCCTCCTACTACAAGGACACTTGTTCAACCATGTTCACTGAAGCTTTTTTCATCATAGCCAGAAACTAGAAACAGTCTAGATGTCCTTCAGCTGAAGAATGGATAAAAGAAACGTGGATATTTACATAATGGAGCATTACTGAGTTGTTAAAAACAATGACATCATGCAATTTGTAGGCAAATGGATGGAACAAGGAAATATCAAACTGACTGGGGTAACTCAGACACAGAAAGACACACAATGGTATGTATTCACTTATAAGTGGGCATTGACTATTAAGTAAAGGATAATTATGCTACAATCCATAGACCTGGAGAAGCTAAATAAAAAAAAAAAAAAAAAAAGGGGTTCAAGATGGTGTCAAGGGGAATGCATGGATATCCCTGGGAATGGAAATAGAATAGATTTTCCAGGTGCACGGGGCAGGTAGGGATGGGAACAGGAGGAATCAGGTTGGGCATGGGAAAGAGAGGGTACTGGGTGAGACGATTGGAATTGGGGGGCATTTATGTGGTGATATAGAAACTTAGTGCAATGGAATCTCCCTGGAATCTACAAGAGTGACCCTAGCAAATTGCCTAGTAAGGGGGATATGGAGCCTGAACTGTCTATGACTAGGCAAAGCTCTTAGCAGTAGGTTTGGGACACTAAGTCAGCCACAAAACTTTCAACCTACAACATGTACTGGCTGCAAGATGTGCTGGAATAACAGCCACATAGAACTTGAGGCCCAACTTGAAGCTCATACTACAAGAGGGAGTCCACATCTGACACTGTCTATATGTCCAGGAACCAGAGGCTAGATATCCCAGAGACCTAGTATAGAACCAAAATGACCAGTCCTACCTCCACTGAAAGGTCAGTGAAATGATTCCTAATGACACTCTGTTATACTCATAGATCAGAGATTGGCATAATCGTCAGAGAGGCTTTATCCAGCAACTAATGCAAGGACCCATAGCCAAATAGTAGATGGAGCTGGGGTAATCCTGTGGAAGAGGCAGAGGAAGAATTTTAAGAGCCATAGGGGTCAAAGATGCCACAAGAAAACCCACAGAATCAACCAACCAAAGCTCATAGGTACTCACAGAGATTGAACTGACAATTAGGGAGTCCATGCCTGATTTGCTTGGATGTCCATGGACTAAATGACCAGAAAAAAGTCAAGTAGATGAAATGATTCCTGAAAATATTCTGCTACACTCATGGATTGGTGTCTAGCTCAGCAATTATCAGAGAGGCATTTTCCAGTAACTGACAGAAACAGATGTAGAGACCCACAGCCAAACACTAGACAGAGTCAGGGGAATCCTGCACAGAAAGGGGAGGAAGGATTGTAGGAACTAGATTTGGTGGACACAGTTTCTCCAAGTTACCACATTACTGCTAGAACTCCTAACTTAAATAAGCAAAACCATCTTCTCATGGCCTCATTCTCTATTTTAGGACTTTCATTTTATTATTTTTCTAAATTGATGTTCAAACCAAAATGATGTCTTTTTCTTGCTTTTGAATAATCATTTTGTATACTGTGAAGATGTGTTACCTTGATTGGTTTAATAAAAAGCTGAATGGCCAGTAGCTAGGCAGAATTTCCAGGCACAGAGGAGGCTGTGAGGAAGAAGGGTCGGGATGAGGAGACATGGAGAAAGCAGGAAAGCAGAATGGACAGTATGTAGATGAGGTACATTAGCTTTAAGGCAGAAATGGGTTAATTTAAGTTATAAGAGCTAGCTAGAAACAAACCTAAGCTATCAGCTGACCTTTCATAATTAATAAGTCTCCATGTCATGATTTGGGAGCTGACTGGCTGGACAGATAAAGACTGGCACATTTTCTTTTCTCCTTTGTCTAAGATTTATTCTCTGTGAAGGCTATGTGATAATATATTGTTTATGATATAAAGCTTTCCTAGAGATCAGAATGCAAAGCTAGCCACAGCCACAGTGCCTAGGCAGTGGTGGCACACATCTTTAATCCCAGGATTCAGTAGACAGAGGCAGATGAATCTCTGTGAGTTCAAGGCCACTCAGGGCTACATGAGAATGAATCATTCTATAAGAGAAACAGAGCTCTTGTCTTTAATCCTAGCACTAGAAAGGTATATAAGACAGGAGCAGGGTCTCAGATATTCAGTCTTAGACTTTCAGTTTCTAGTCACAGGGAAGACAGAATCTCCATTTCAGCCTTGGCAGAGGGAATAGCTACTGGTTGGCTGCTTTGCTTTTCTCATATTCACCCCAATAGCTGTCTCTAAGTTTTTATTACTCATGCTACATTTTGGCGCCCAACATAAAGGTATGAATACACACACACACACACACACACACACACACACACACACACACACACAGCTTGCCTGTGGCTTTGAAGCCACTGGCCCAGGCCTAGGCCTGAGTTGCAGGCAGGGCTTCCACTGGAGTTCCTGCCTAGCTGCCTAGGTTTTCTTTTGTTTTTTCCCCAAGTCTTTGAGTGAGTTTGGGATTTCCCTGTTGTGGCCTCTCTAAACAGTCTTCAGCTGCCACCCAAACTAGAAGCAGGTTCTTTTGCCTTCAGGCTGCTCCTGCCACATGCATTTTTTTCCATACAATCTTGTGTGTGGTTTTTCAGAGTGCAGATTCTCTCTCTCTCTCTCTCTCTCTCTCTCTCTCTCTCTCTCTCTCTCTCTCTCTCTCTCTCTCTCTGTCCCTTTGGTTGTGGGTTTTCCCGGGAACCCTTGGGACCCCCTTCTTAGGCTGCTGCCAGAAAAGTTACCTACCTTGAAACGTGCTCTGCTTCTACAGTTCTATGAAGCAGCAGTCATCTTCACACTTCACTGTCATCCAAATCCTCATTGTTGGCAGATTTGGTGAGACAATTGGGAATTCTTTTTTTTTTTTTTTCTTATTTTACATATTGATTCCAGTTCCCTCTCCCTCCCTCCCTTCTTCCCTCCCTCCCTTTCTCCCATCCCCCCCCCACCCAATTGGGAATTCTTAAAGAGAGAGGCTTTTTTTCCCCACATTAAAAAAATGGGAAACACCATTACAAAGGAGCGAGTTATGTTTCTGTATGATTATGCAATGAATGATTCCTGAATCCATCCACTTCGAGCAGCACCCAGGGTGACCCTGCCTTCCCTGAGATGAATGGCAATGGTGCTGCAGCCCCCATGGACTTCACTGCCACCACTGAGGACCAGCTGATCAACAAGCTCCCTCCAGGCACAGCACTGGGTACACCGTCCTACCCCTCAGACGGCTGCAGCACTGACGGGCTTCGGAGCCGCGTCAAGTATGGGGTGAAGAGCACTCCTGAGTCTCCCCCCTACAGCTCTGGGAGCTATGACTCCATCAAGACAGAAGTCAGTAGCTGTCCTGAGGACCTGACAGTGGGCCGGGCCCCCGCAGCAGATGATGACGACGATGATCATGATGACCATGAGGACAATGACAAGATGAATGACTCAGAGGGCATGGACCCTGAGCGACTCAAGGCCTTCAATATGTTTGTGGATGAGAACCTGGACCGCATGGTGCCCATCTCCAAGCAGCCCAAGGAGAAGATCCAGGCCATCATTGAGTCATGCAGCCGGCAGTTCCCCGAGTTCCAGGCGCGAGCCCGCAAGCGCATCCGCACATACCTCAAGTCCTGTCGTCGCATGAAGAAGAATGGCATGGAGATGACCAGACCCACTCCTCCCCACCTGACCTCAGCCATGGCAGAAAACATCCTAGCAGCTGCCTGTGAGAGTGAGACAAGAAAAGCAGCTAAAAGGATGCGCCTGGAGATCTACCAGTCCTCACAAGACGAACCTATAGCCCTGGATAAGCAGCACTCTCGGGACTCCACAGCCATCGCCCATTCCACCTACTCACTGCCAGCCTCTGCCTACTCCCAGGACCCTGTGTACGTCAATGGTGGCCTCAACTACAGCTACCGTGGTTATGGGTCCTTGAGCAGCAACCTGCAGCCCTCGGCTTCCCTCCAGACAGGAAATCACAGTAACGGGCCCACAGACCTCAGCATGAAAGGTGGGACCTCTACCCCGACCCCTCCCACACCCACTCCTTCCAGTAACAGCACCAGCAGGACCATGCCCACGGCCCAGCTCAGCCCCACAGAGATCAGCGCTGTGCGGCAGCTCATTGCTGGCTATCGAGAGTCTGCAGCCTTCCTGCTGCGTTCTTCGGATGAACTGGAAAACCTCATTTTACAGCAGAACTGACCCCACTGGCCCCCAGAGTGCACGACACCAGGGAAGGAGGCTGTCCCAGCTTCCTGCCTCACCAGTAGGTACATTGTTTTCTGAAAGAGGTGGGATCCAAAAGAGCTGTTTCTAGCCACACTCCGAGCATCTGAGACTTTGGGCACAAGGACACTTTTTTTTTTGTTTGTTTGTTTTTTAATTTCACCACACAGGTGCTCTGACCTGCTTGGAAAGAGGCCAATGGGGCAGCTCTAAAAGGGATGGGGCTCCCCTGACAAGGCACAGGAGCTGCAGCTCTATTAGAATCACCTTCATGGACCCTGATGTTAGAATCCCATCCCGACAATTACCTTTGAAGTCTTAGGTGAGCAGAATTGCATATTTATTGAGAAGAGCAAACGTGGGCCCTTTCTTCCTCTCCCTAGTAATTTATTTTTCTGAAATGGATTCTTTTGTGTTTGTACAGATAAAAAAAAATATCAAAGTAGTAAATTTGAATTTTCCTGATGGCTAAGGATGTTGAAAATATTAAAGAATATTTATCTGGGACTTAGTGGTTAAGAATACTAGCTGGTCTTCTAGAGGTCTTGAGTTCAATTCCCAGCAACCACATGATGGCTCACAACCATCTGAAATGAGATCTGGTACCCTCTCTGGCCTGCAGGGATATATGTGGATAGAACACTGTATACATACTAAATAAAATTAAAAAAGTTTTATCTGGAGTGAGTTTACTACTTGAATCACTTTCACTTTTTTTTGTTTTGTGTGTTTTTTTTTTTTTTTTTTTTTGAGACAGGGTTTCCCAGTAGCTGTAGAACCAGTCCTGGGACTCACTCTGTAGACCAATCTGGTCTTGAACTCACAGAGATCTTCCTGTTTCTGCCTCCCGAGTGCTGGGATTAAAGGTGTGAGCCACCACTGCCAAGCACTTTCACTTTTTTCATATCAGTGTTCAAGAGGTACAGTGGCCAGGCAGTGGTGGCACACACCCTTAATCCCAGCACCCAGGAGGCAGAGGCAGGAGGATCTCTGAGTTTGAGGCCAGCCTGCTCCACAGAGCAGGTTCCAGGACAGTCAGGGCTACACAGAGAAACACTGCCTCAAACAAACAAACAAACAAAAGCCAAACAAAAACAAAAACAAAACAAAACCCCCTCAAAAAACAAAAGAAAAAAATCACAAATGAAATTGTCATAAAAATATCTGTAAAGAAAGATTAAGTAAAAATAAATACTCAGAATCAAAATTGCTTTTCAGTTGCCTCATTTCACAGATGATGTTATATGAAGCCAAAATTGTCCTAAGTTGAGGCATTTTCTTTTGTCAGAGTGGTGTTGAGGGTGCTGGGATCTATCTTCACGTCTTCTAAATATATACTACTGTCTGGAACTAACCATTCAAGGGTAGACTCAGTATGAAAACAGAGTTAACTAAGAAGCAACCACCACTTAAGTGTCAGTAATTGTGCAGAGTGAGGAACACTTGTAATACTGTGTGCACCAATATACTAGTCTTCATGGATATGAGTGGAAACAAACAGAATAAAAGGAAAACACATGAGACAAGTGGTAAGTATTGGGTTGATGAAAAGTAGTGGAGGGGGCATGAACAGAAGAGGCAAACGCGTGGGTGAGGCGATGAGGTTTTGGTAAAGGTGGACTGAAGAGTTGGATAATATACAATAGTTCCTTCTTTCAGGGTGCTGAGCCACCAAGGCCAGTCTACTTTCTTTGGGAGAAGAAAAAGAAGAGGAGAGGGTAAGAGAAAAAAATGATCTAGGACAAGAATAGAGCAGGACCAGGTTGTCTGGGAACTTGACATTTGAGATTAAATAAGGAAAGAACAGTTGGGGTGTGTGGGTAGAGGTACAGGATATGAAACCTGATGACCTGGCTGCTGGATCTATCCCATCTCAGGTCTCCTAGCATGCCTTGTTCAGTTCCTAGGTGTATTTTCACACTTCTCTTTGCTGATTTAAAAAAATCGATTCTTTGGGAATTTCACATCATGCATGCCAATCCTGCCTATCTCCTAGTCTCTCTGAATCTGCTCCTCACTCCTGTAGCATCCTCCCCTGCTAAGGAAAGCCAAAAAAGAATAAAATAAGATTTAAGGAACAATAATAAAAGAAGGAAAAACACTTCCTTCCTCTGTTTCTCCCACCTCTCCATCTCTTCCCCATTCATCCTAGGGGCATTCGGAGCTGCTATCTATCATAAAGTATATCCATCTGTCCAAAAAGCACTACTTGCAAGTGTTCACCATGCAATGAATTGTTGGTTAGGTTCAAGGCTTCTGGCTTTGATATACCACTAAAACTGGACCCCCACTAATACTCCTCTCTGATATTCCACTTTTGCCTTGAGTCATGGAGAATTTTTAAGTGTACTTTGACATTCTATGGTGACTGCCAGATGCTAATTTCTATTCATTATTGGATTTTATGTGTGTAATATTTTCAATTGATCCATAGTTCCAATGGTTACACACAGTTTCCTTGCCTTACTGTTCTCTTTGGCTAATGCTTTCTGGTCAGGGATTTCTATATTCACTTCCTAATTCTGTCCCAGTTCTTCCCTATTTATTCTCTGAGCTGTATCTTGACATTTGTGAAATCCCTTTGTCACTGAATGTGGAGACAGAGTACCTTAAAAATGCAACAACTAATATTTAAATTAAATTATATCTTTGTGATATGCTATGGTCACCTGGTGTCTATTGTTACTTTTCTTTCAGAACCTCAGAAGAGATTAAGAAGTTTAGAATTTCCTCTGTTAGATGGATATACATTTTGGTTAACAGTATTGAAAAGAAGGCCCCTTGCTGATGTCAATTTATCAGTAGTCAGACTGAAAGAAAAAGAATTACAGCTGATGATCTAGACAACTTACCTTGGGAGTTATAGTCTGGGCTTGAGGATCTGACCTTTTGATGCTGTGGACTGACTTGTGAACTAGTCATGGTTTTCTGTTTGTTAATCAAGATTCAAGTTGGAGAGTGAGATTTCCCTGAGGCCTGTCTGGTCCTCTCGAGTAATTGTTTCCATTCTGCAGGAGAGTCATGTTTTAAAATTCCTGTGTCTAGGTACTATCTCAGATCAATTAAGCCAGAGTTTCTGGCAGCAGAACCTGGGTACTACTATATAAATAAAAAGGCTCCTCAGTTATTCTAAATGTAAAAAAATTATAAAACTATAATTTAAAAAAGTAAGTTGGAGCAAAACTCCTAGAACTTATTTATGAACAAGAATGCCTGGGAAGGTACAGCTGTAAACTCTGATTGACAAATTAAAACTTCAGTGGTGTGGAGAGGTTGGAATATTGCAAGTCCAGAGCTAAATCATCTTGGGGCATCTCTAGCCCCCTTAACAGCCATTTAGTGCCCTCCTCTATAGAGATATAATACAGTTTGTGACTATTGGGTAAATCCTTTGGAATGTACAAAGAGATCCATAGATTCCACTATCCAAAGGGCAAGAATGACATCAGATAGCATCTGAAGCCTATAGCCTATCTTGCTATAATCCACCTATCTAATGTACCCACCAATGTATTTGAACAGCATCTTGGTTTATGGCTTCTCTATTCTATTACTATAAAAACTTTGTGAAATTGCTACACCATTGAGACATGGCATTTGGGTTAACCTATTGTCTGTGTTTCCTGGCTCTCATATTTGGCTTCAAGATAAACCAAGTCTTTCATTTGTGTTGAGAGCTATTTCATTCACTGACATGTGTATGAGGTCAAAGTGGCTGAGTGCTCTTGAGTGGGATGCTGTGGTGGTCAGTAAGCTCTCCTTCTTCTCATAGGTGGCCCCTAGACCTTGCATAGGCCCAGTAAACTGAGGCATGTGACAATTATGATCAGATCAAAGAGCATCTAGGAAAAATCAGGGAGTACCCTTCTCCTGTTCACATTCTTTGCTTTTATGTTACTTGGGAAACATCTTCAAAAGAGTAAATCTTCCCTCAGGCCATCCTGGTCTTGTCAGTATACATTCAAATAAAGACGCACGAAGGATTTCAGGTGTCCAGGATTTCCTGCTAATGAAGGACCTTGTGGAGATGATAACATTCTAGGAACTAGAGTTTGGTACAGCTGGGTCACATTTCAGTGGCTGCATCTGAACCTCCTGATTCTTTCAGAAACATGCAAAGATTCTGTGCTGTGCTGCCTGTTGCTGATGTGACTTCCATCTGTCTAGTTTATTCACGCATTCTCTAGTATATCACTCCATCCTCTGCTGAGAACAATAGCCTCTTCACATAATACTTTCTGGATTCACATCTACTATGAACACTTGCTCCTCTATGTGGTAGTTTGAATGAGAATGGGCCCCATAGGCTTATATGTTTGAATATTTGGTCCCTAGTTAGTGGAACTATTTGAGAAGGATTAGGAGATATGGACTTGTTGGAGGAGGTGTGTCACTGGGGGTGGGTTGTTTTTCATGTTTCAAAAGATTTGTGCTAATCCCAGTTATCTCTCTGTCTCTTACTTGTGGATCAAGAATTGATCTCAACTGTTCCTGATACCATGCCTTTGCTCCAATGTCATGTATTCTGAGCCTCTGAAATCATGAGCATTAACTGCTTTTTAAAACTAAGATGCCCTTGTCATGGTGTTTTTGTCAGAGCAATAGAAAAATAGCTAATGCAATCTGTTAGGACAAATCCTTCTTTAAATTCCAGGTAAGGAAGGTGATGATTTTAGTCATTGTGGTAGTTTTAATGTGATTGGCCTCCATATGCTCGTTGGGAATGGCACTATTAGGAGGTCAGGCTTTATTGTGGTAGGTGTGGCCTCATTGGAGGAAAGGTGTCACTGTAGGGGTGAGCTTTGTGGTCTCCTATGCTCAAGATATGCTCAGTGTCTAAGTTCAATTCCTGTTGCCTGCCCATCAAGAAGTAGAAGTCTCAGCTCCTTTTCCAGCATCATGTCTGCCTGATGCTGCCATGTTCTACCATGTTCATGCCTCTGAAACCATTAGCCAGCCCCAATTAAACAATTAAATGGTTTCCTCTATAAGAGTTGCCTTGGATATGGTGTCTCTTTAG